CCTATGTCACAGACTCGACGACAACTCTGCCGTGGATCTTTAAATTCTTGGGAGAATTCAACTCGAAAAAAACTTCAAAAACCATGCCCCACAATTCGCAATCACAACCGAAACCGCAACCGTCATGGTTGACAAGATTGCTTGAAACAACTAATTTTTACGAGTTTTGCACCATCGAAAACCATACTACTAAGAACAATATCATATTTTGTTTAACTTGTCGCAATGGAGCAATTTGCGAGCTTTGTGCAGAGCAGGATCACCAATTCCATCGAACTCTTCGAGTAAGTTCTATTAATTCTCTCCTCTTCTTCTTCTTATTTTTCGTGTATTATATCTGGATTCAAACGAAGTAGATTCTTTTAGGTTAAATACACGGTCATAATTAATTAATTACACCATATATAGTCCCCTTGGCCAATTTTTCCCTTTCATTAATGGACTTAAACTTTAATTTATGATGATTGAAGTTTTGCTGGATTCGATATGATTATTGTTAGGTTTTTAAAGCATCGCATTTAGTATCGGTCAGAGTCGATGACATGAGGAAGCGGATTGATGATGGTGGAATTCAGCCCTTTGTAATAAACGGGAAATCAATCTTCTTTATACATTCTAGAGGAAAAAGCTTGTTACCACACACTCCCAAGTGTGTGGTTTGTGAAGGACACCTTAAGGCCGCACCCTATGAGTACTGTTCTATTGCTTGCAAAGTAAGTTATAACTCCATACCTGCTGATAACCTATCATTGTTCTTAATTGCATAACTTGTTAAGTTTGTTGCCTATTCGTACCTATTTTTTTTTTTTTTTTCTATTCCCTCTTGTAAGTTAGATTACATAATTAAGTTTGTATATACCTTGTGGATTGTTGATTTGGGAGATTTTGACTTGTGGGTGGAAATATATATTTGGTTTTGTGCCAAGGCTTTGGCAAGATCATTGATTGCCGGAGTGGCTTGGTGACCATCCCACAAGACAGGCGATGGCGGTGGATAGTTGATTTTTGGTTTTGACAAAGATAGAAGCTTAAGATATCTACGAGAACTCCATACGAGACCTATTCCTATTTCCTAGCCCCCAAAGTTTCTATAGATAGTTTCCTCACCCAATATAAACAATCTTTTAAGGAGAAGGGCTCTGTTTGCACTGTGAGTCCTAAATGTGTTGTGGTTTTGGGTACACAAAATACTCCGAAAACGCATTTGTTTTGTGAACTTTCAAAAATCATATTTTTATATTGTTATTTTTTTTCTCACACCAATCATCACCTTATTCACCAACTTTAACCACCACTCGCCGCCACTACAGCGGGAGGCCCGCCAACAATCAGTGTGGCCAACTTCTGACTACTTGGCCAGAATTTTGGCCGGCCAGCCACCGTCTGACGATGGTTTGGCGGCAGCCTCGCCCCAGTGATGGCGGCTGGTGGTCACCAAAAACTTTGCCAGATGTGCATAATATGAGGTTGAAAAAGATCCGAGTCTCGGTAAAAAAATCTTCGTTCTGTCCCACAAAAATAATCCAGTTTGATAAAAAATCTTATTCCAAAAAAATAATCCAATTTCCAAAAAGTCAAAATTCAAAGAGATAAAATAACTTAACTATCCTCTCTCACAAACAAATTCAATGGGTACTATTTTCCAATCCTGACGGCAATGGTTTCGGAGCTACGACGGCGAAATCTTCTTTCCGACCGGCGATGGCTTTGGAGAAGAGGAAGTAACCGTGGAGCACGTTTCGCTCTCTGTTGACAGCTCCGATCCGTTCGGATTTGATTCAAATCAGGATCCCTCGCTGCACCTTTTGGAGCTCCATCAATTTTGGTTTCTCATGGGAATGGCAAGTCTTATGACCTTGGGATTGATTTGGAAGGGGTTATCATCTCCGCGGGCCTTTTATAACCCCTCCCAACGAGATGCAAGAGGAAGGCGTTGCTCTTTTGGGAATGTCGTCGGTGAGGCTTTTGCTTTTGGCAATTTTCTAATGGGCTTAGTACAATGTGCCATTAATTGGTTGAATATGTTTACATCTGCTATGTGCCATTGAAAATTTGGCCATTTCTAAGCATGAATTTTGAGTAGAGTTAAAAAGAATGAGAAATCGGTGTTGGTTGCTGCGGTCGGCGTTGAAAAATTGAAAGAGAAGGAGAACCGCACAAGTATCGGAGTTTTTGCTTTGTTAATTTTCATTCAGGGGTAAAATTAAAAGTTTACAAGATAAAAATGAGTTGTATCTTGTTGGGTTGACCAAATTAAAAAAGTTATTTTTGTAGGTCGGAGAGAGTAACAAAGAAGTACAACCAAATGGGAACAGAATTAGTCCGATATGCGATTCCACTTGATACACTATCATCAAGCTTCGTGACACTCCCAATTTCCTCACTCAATGAACTTACCATGAAAACCAAATAAGCCAATAAGCCTAGCTAGAAGTATACCCTATAGCTCAAGGGATTTTGTGCCCGTGAAATTAAAGACACAAAGGTTGGATTTTAAGTTAGAAAGGTTAGGTTAATTATACAAGAATAAAGAGAAGGAAAATGAGAAGAAGAAGAAAAAAGATGTCAATAAAGCTTATTTTGGATAAGATCAAGATAAATTGATCTAAATATGGTTGCCGGTGTTAAAATTTCAGACCTCAGTTCTATTTAAGTTTGTTGAGTCACTTCACTTATAATCAATTGATTACTTTTTAATACAGTGGTTACTTTACATATATAGTTGTTTCTTGATTTGGTTTGATGTTTTTGTTATAGAATACTACAACAAATGGGTTTACGTAATAAAGTCGTGAAATTTAATGGTAGGTTGAGCACGGACTCCAGTGCCATGAAGACCAATATGGTATTTATAATCTAGATCCCTTATCCATTGACGGCGAAGAGCAAGGGGAGAACTCCGGTGAAAGTAAGCCAGTTGTATTGTCAGATGGCGACAGCCAAAAACAAGGACAAGCACAACGAGTAGCCAGTTCCAGCTTAAAGAGGAAGAGAAAAGGAATACCTCGCAGGTCTCCTTTTATATAATTATAATTTGCTCAGTTCTTACCTCTGTAAAGTTGCTAGCATCAATCCAAATTTATGTAACGTTTGCTCTGTCAAAATTAGGCAGTAATGCAATGATCTTAATTTACACCTTCTCCATTAGCTTTCTTTTTTTCTTTTCAAAATTTATCTTATGCTCGTTTATTTGGCCTGTAGCAACAAATTGTACATGACACCATACTAGCTAGCTTCTTGTTCGAGAAGTTAATTTGTAATAAAGCTAGGATTATACTTGAGCATCGAACTCCACAATACAAGGGTTGTAAAATTTAGTACCCCTCGGCTCAAGTATATATTACATGGATTAAATACTAATAGAAATATGTGGGACACTTACCACTTAGCACTACTATGTTAGCACTTAGCACTATTACTTCAAAAGAAGGTGGAACAAAATTACACTCCATTTTATACACAAAGGTGTTTCAACTTATTAGTTTCTGGGAAGCCACAAGGCTTAGATACTACTAATAATTAGCCAATTAAGGATTTCAATCATAAGCCATCATCCCAATCCTAACACAAAAGTAATCCAAGTACTGATTAAAAAAAAAAACATGGGAAAAGGAGAAAACTCATAGAATGGAAAAAAAACACATGGAGAGAATGTGGCTCAAAAGTGCTTGAGAAATAATCATGGCTACCCCCTTGTTATCAATCATTTACAGAGAAAGAAAGATACAAACAGGGGTTCCTCATTGTTCAACAGAGTTTTTCTCATCATTGCCACCATTCATTTCACTATACCCAATAACAAGTTTTTTTAACACACAAATACTTATAATCATAGTTCCATCATGTTCAACAAATCCATAAGTTCCCAATCTTCAAAACAGGGAGATGCAGAATCAGTAAAAAACCGAAAGATGGTGTTTTTATAAAAACATTAAATCATTTTCACAGTTCCAAAAAGAAATTGACCCTTCTCCCAACCACACCCATTTCCCTGCTGCCGCAGCCATGGATGATAAACTGTGGAAAAATAGTTGGGTAAAAAAAAAAAGGGGGAAAATAATTAAAAAAAGCAACCAAATTGATGGTGTTTCTCTCAGACAAATGCCTCGATTTGTCTTCACGATTTGTTACGAATGGATTTTCGATCAGACTCGTCATCTAGTTTTTATCATCACTGAGAAACACACAGTCACACACCCTTCTTTTTCCCCATTTCTTCAAGGCAAAAAGAAAGGGTTGCAAACAAAATATAAGATTGAAGAAATTCTAGCGACATCGAACTCTACTACTGGGCAACAATCATCACTAAGAATATAAGCAAAGACAAACAATCTCAAAGAGAATATGAAATGAATGATTACGGGAAAAGTTGTTCTGGGCAGAGGAGCTCAACGGAGGCCGTACTTTTTATAACTCAGCGTAGCTGGAATTAGGGTTGAGGGGTACCCTTCTGAAATGGTTCATTGGGCTAATCATTGCCTTGGGCCTTATCTTGTACAACCAATCCAATTTCAAAATCTACATAGTTCAGGCCCATTGGACAAATATAAAAGGAGAAATAAAAAAAGAGTGATAATACATATCTCACCTAATTTATCTCATCCCACGTGACATTTAGTTTTTGGATAAAATTTAATTAGTTAATTAAAAATTTGAAAAAATTACATAAGTTAATTTAATTATTTTTTTGGCTAGGTTTATATACTTTTCAAATACTTTTATATTTATAAAATTTTAAATTAAATAGACCCTAACCTCGAAAAGAAAAACCCTTTTGGGTAAAGTTATAATGATACCAAATATTATCACTAGGAGTAATATTAATAGGAAATTTAATAATATTTGGATTAATTTATTTGGATGAAAAGTAAGGTGAGATGGAATGGTGAGATGAACTAGGTGAGATGAATTACTCGAAAAAAATGCATTCAACAAAGACTCGAGAGAAATTTTCCTTTCTTATATTCCCGTGGAAGATGAATTATTTTTTTTGGTTCCGTCACAGAAATAGTCTACTTTATAAATGATACAGTTTACTGTCTCAATTAAACAATATTGACTATTTTTTTGATCGAAGGAAGACATGGATTAACAAAATGTCCACGATTCCATTTTGCCAACCAAAATATTGTTCCTGGTACTTTTGATATAATAGGTCCGGGAGAAGGAATCAAAGGTTTCCTACTACGAGCTCATCTAACTACGAAAACAAATTAGCTACATTTTTGCCTATCACGTCATGATTTTTCAATAACAGAGAACAAGAGAACACATTGCTGTACTTAAAAACTTGCAAGTGGTTTTTTTGCTACTTTTCTGCTTATAAGGAGTGTTTGAACAGTCAAGGGAGTACGCAGTTAACCCTTCTGGTTTTCGAGAGGGAAATCATTCTGGTAACAGATTACAGAAATATAACATTTCCGGGTTCCCACTAACTTTTCCTACTTTCCATTTAAGCAGAAAACAAGGAAGACCTACAGAGGAATTAAGGAAAAGAGCAATGTATCAACTTGTTATGAAATGCCATCTTGGATAGCGGGTAAATCAGAGGAAGTGAAGAACCAAGCCCCAGATTGGATATGCCAACAAGAGGATGATGCCTACGGTGTTTGAAAATCCATGGGGTTGTGTGAAGGAATTGCGGAATCCTCCAGATGCCCGAATGTGCTCTTGCAGCAGATAACAACCAATGCACAAGCATATAATAACTCCGACCAAGTTGTCCCTCAGGGTATGAGCGAATAGATTAGGAGAAACCACCAACAGAAGTATCAATGAGCCAGGCATCTCCAGCCAGTCTGCCATGGAAATAAAACATCCCAGGGGGCTTAGAGGCTAGATAAGGAAATGCACAATGCTATTAAATAAAAGTGATTGAAATTGCAAGCAACAGAGGATCTGTAGACAAGAAACCTGCAATTTCAAATCAACACTCTTAAAAGCAAGTCTCAACTACCTGGGAAATGTCGTGGGAAGAAAAGCCTCAGCACAACAGCAATGAAAGCAACCCATTTTCCGAACTCCCCCCTAAGTTATCCATAGCACAGAACAGAAGTTAGAGCATCTGTAGCATTCAAGGTGCATTCTGAAAAGAAGAAAGAGAACAGACAGTAGAAGACAATGCACAGAAATTTTTTACCTCAAGAAGTTGAAAAGCACAGCCGGAAGACTGAGAAAAATATAGGGAACTAAAAGTGATGTTAGCATGTTGGTCCTCCAGTTTGTTCGATCCAATATCAACAAATAGCTGCAGCAGAAAAAAAGAAAAAAGAGGAGGTTAACTGACAATCAATAAACAATTTGAATGTAATAAGTACGTTGGACACGAAGCTTGTCAGACAGAATAACACAACTGATAAGCAAAGAAGAATCTGTGTGCATGGTAGCATCTTAATTCTAAATTTGTACTGATGGACTAATAATGGGGAAACTCGCTCGCGTAGATGAAAGCTGATATTTCCTGGAAAAGGAGCTTCGGTACATATACATAGTTCTTAAAAAGTGGAAGAAGCAAACTTTGGTAAAATTCTCACACAAGTACAGACACATGATACATATGCTGATCAGGGAGGTTTCAGCACTAAAAAGATAGGCATGGTAACTAAACTAAGATAGAATGACTGAAATTTCGGACACCCCAAAGCTACAAAATAAAAAGCATTCCAAAAATTGCTGAACTATAGGTCCAGAAATCATACTGATGACAAAAGGGTGGTCAGTGGTGACATGCTTTTCTGATAAATTGGCTTGGTACATTGGTACTGCTAAAAGTGGAGAATGCTATAAGTTTAAGTGGGCATTAAAAAATCTAGTACTTATTAGCCAATCTGATTGATAAGTTTCAGTGGTAAATCTGATTGTTCTCATCATATATTATCTCAGAACTGTACGCTAGTAAAACAGATATATGCAATGAATACAATCAGAGATGCTAACTTTTTCCAATGTCTAGTTTCAGTTTAAGCATGGACAAAAATATTGAATACAGGATACTAAACTTGAATTCTGTCCATGTCTAAAGATGGGCTTGAGCACTAATATGGAAGCCAATTCAACGAGTTCCAAATATTCAGCTCCTGGTTATCCATTAACAGGGACATTTTCTAGCCCGAAGAGTTTACATATAGTAGTTCAATCAGCTTGATAGGCAGATTCCAAAAGTTCATTAGGGCACATTCTCTTATTCATGAAAAAACATTTTAAACAAGTGCCACAAGATGACTGATCCTGGTTTATTACCGTCTTTAGCCGAGATTGCACACTATCAGTTATTCACAAAATGAAAAGAAACCAAGGAAGAGAGCATATGCCTTAATCCATCTCAGTGTTAGCTTGGTTTATCTAAGAGACTTGACAAACTAAAGATGCAAGTCAACAGACTGACAAATTTCAGTTTCGACACATATTTGCAACCAACTGGCATAATCAATGAGAACAAACTAACTTTAGTGAAATTCTGCAACAAAGTTCTTTCATTGTAAGTCCTTATTTTTGACAATTAGACAGGTACATTCGACGTAGAAAGATTGATCACTCTCAACCAACTTGTAGGATGATTATTCTTTCCAGTAGGACTCAAGTTACGCATACTATGATTATCATGTGCTTGTACATCTTGCTGCCTCTCAAAATTGACCATCTACTGGTCATGATATACATGTAATTGACCAGTTTCCCAAACTAATGATGAGTTCATACCAATCTGCTGCCATAGACTGACAGAATTTCACCGTTTCCCAGCGGAAAGTCAAATAGACCGACTAACAACCACGTATAATCTTCATAATCAACACATTTTAGGTGATGATCCAGAATAGGATGAAGTCATTCTTTAGGTAAAAAGTATTACTTGACTCTTAACATCGCAAAAATCTATTACAGTTGTTATCACCTTTTTTTAACTTTTTGACAAGAAAAAGAATAAATCAAAAAACGAGTAAAGATCCACCAATCAGTCCAAAACAATGGTCACACAGAAACTTCAACAAATCAAGAAATCCAATCATTACGGTTAACAATTTCCTAAGGGCTGAAAGGGTCCTAAAATCTTAATAATAGAGAGGGGAGAATTAGGCTGTAAAGCACTTACATGGCAGCGAAAGATGCAACCCATTTGAGAAAAGAAGTACCAACAGCAAGGCCACCCAATTTGGTAGTATGGTCAAAGAGCTTCTTGGCAGCCATTTTCAATTCGTTGATGTCCGAATCGATCAATTCAGCCGTGACTTTATCTTGGTCCGTCTTCATAGCCAAAAAATCAACCGGCTTCCTCCCCATTTTGTGTTTCTATAACGAAAAAGGATGAATCTTTGAGAGATAGAGAGGAATTCAATTCCAATCACCACTTGGGTTTGTTAAATTGTCTCTCGGAGTCTGAATGGGAAAAAAGTGAAACACAAACAGGAGCTGTTGAGTAATAGTGTGAGCAGAAGACTAAAAATAAGGTTTTTTTACATCATAGGATGCGGACCAATTGTTATTTTTGTTTAGACAAAATTCTTCGTACAATGCGGATCCCATCTAACTGTCTTTGTTTGATGATGACCATGGCGGGAGTGACCACGTGGAGCCATGTAGAGGTCCAGAGTGGACTTCGCTAATACGGCTTTCTAATGGTGTTCGAATGGAGTTTGACAAATATAATATGGTTAACTCTATTGAGTAACTCTTCTTTTCTAGATCTAAGGTAAACTAATGAATTACAGTTACTGGTTTATTCTCAGCAGGATATGTTGTATGTTTTGTTGCTAATGAAATTTGTATGGTTAAAATTTCTGACTTTGGTTACGTCCACATTAAAATACTATTCTTGTGTCACTCTCTCAACTCGTGCTCCAAGCACAAAAACGCTGCTAGTAGAGGGTCAAGCAGCGGTCACATTTCGTAATTCAATTATATCTGCAATTATTCTCAGAATAGCCATAATAAGTCATGAAAGATAATGTGTGTATTTTCTTTAATGAGTGGCCTTCATGTTTTTTTAAAATGCAACAATCCACTTTGCTATTAGTACTAAAATTTTTGGCACAGAGGATCCAACTAAATCTCTCCCTAATGACAATTATTCTGGGGACGGATGAAGGAAGTATGTAAAACAACAAAGCAGCCAAAAGGAAAGAAACCATTGCAGATTGGACCACACAACAATAGAGACTGAGGACTGAGGAGCATGTTCCAATTTTGCTTTAAAGATTCAACTCTCAAAAAGAACAATAATTGAATAAATCATACCGTCTTTTGAAGGAGAAAAGGAAGAACACAAACGGATTCTTTTTTCTTTTTTTTTTTTTCCCCCAATTGCTGGTGTTTCCAACACCATAACAAAGGAAAAAAAAAAAAAAAAAGTAAATATGGCTGGGGAGGGGAGTGATGAGCACTTGAGTTCATGAGTTTGCGGAATAACATGGCATATGCTTTTTATGCATGAAGCCATGGACAAGTCAAACAGTAAGAAAGAAGAACACAAGTTGTAATCAGTACAAGTACCCACACACACACACACACACATTCCCTCATTTCCAGCCATGCAGATGTGCCAAGTTCGATGAGAGAAAATCTTCAATTAAAACAGTTGCCACTTCATAATGCTTTCGCTTTGTCACTTTGTTTACTTTTGGTTTCCAAACGGTTGTCTTCCCTCTTGTCTTCTTCTTCTCTAAAGAATCCACCCACTCCCCAGTCCCCACCACTTCTTCCCTAATACTACCAGTAGTACTACTTCCTCAACTCCACTGCTCAGTGCTAACATCCAAAATCTTCTTCAGTAGTATTCTACTAGTATTTGGATATACCTTGAAACCCGCAATTACTACATTTCACCTTTCATTCCGGCTTTTTGTTTTCTTCACTCGCATCTGCACATGCATTTGCTTGCGTTTCATTCATCTGAACTTATGAATGTCAATTTCTCACACCATAACTCCATACAATGTTACACTTACGAATACAAGAAATAATATTACTCTTTCCGTCCTATAATTATTTTCTAGTTTGAATTTTCATTTATAGTTCAAATTGTACTAAAAGTGAAATATCAAACTGTACAATAATTTTGGGACAGAAGAAATATTACCATTTCAACCTCACCCAACCCCAAATTTTGAAAGTAGTAAAACAAAACCAAGGCATTAACTAGACAATTATTATACACAAAATAAGCCATGAAGAGAGAGAACTGAGACTGGCACTTGTATTAACTCGCAACATCGACAATGATTTCAACAAATATTAATACACAAAAATTAACGAGGGAAAGAATAAATGGTGAAGGATTAAAAAAAAAAAAAAAGAACATTCCTTCTGCGGAAGTGTTGACTATTGACTCCGGTTGGTCCGCCCTTTCTTGGCCTCAACTACGGTGGCGGAACTGTGTGAATCACACACTTGCGTCTTGAATTTACACCCAAACTTACTCCTCCATCCCCCATTATTCCCACCGCCGTTACTCGCTTTCCCTCTTCCTTTTTCACTCCGCGGAGCACCGCCGCCGCCGCCGGTCTTATCGATTTTCTCAATGGCTTTCTTCATGGTGGAGCATTCCCGTTCCAATTCATGCACCCGATTCCTCATACTATCCATATCCAGCCGCAACACCTGATTCTCCCTCACCGCCGCTCTCCACGTGCTCACGGTTCCGCCGTTCCCTTCCACCGAAGCTTCACCCACACGTGGCATCCCCATAACGGCCTCCTCTTCCTGCTCCAGCGCCGGCGGCACGTCCGCCGCCAGCAATGTCCCCGCAATAGCATGCCGGAGCTGTAATTGCTCGAAGAATAGCACCTGAACCACCGCTCTCAGCGGCAGACGCTCGTTTTGCGCCGCGTGGGTACACGCCTCCAACGTCAACTTCTGACAGTCCAAAACTCCGCATATTTTCTCTCTTTCCGATTCCGATATCCACGGATGCGCCTACGGATTACATAATAAAAAATTTTAATTTTTTCGACAAATCAGATTTTAATTTATTTTAAACACAAATTATAGCTTACCTTGAGATATACGTCGACTGCTCTGTAGAGACCGTCGTCGAATAGTCTGGCCTGCTCCGGCAAAGAGACGGCGAACTGGTAAAACCTTTCCGGCTTTAAATTAGCATCGGAAGCAATTTCCGACAAGTAACCGTCGATCAATTTTCCGACGAGCATCAGCGCCGCCGATCTCATACTGCTGCTGTCATCCTCCTCGTCGTCTTGGATCCTGCCGGAAGATCTCTGTTCCAAACCTTGAAGGAAATGTCCTAAAATCCTCTCCACACAGTCCACGTCGTAGAGCGTTTCGTTCAAATACGAATAACTCGGAACCAATAAATCATCCAGCGTGGCCTGTTCCAGCTGTGAACCAATCTTCTTCTCCAACGCCGACCGGCATTCCTTCGAGCAGTTCAGAATGTTGGTGGCTCGGAGAAGCCCGAAGAGAAACCTCGTGGCGGAGGAAGAGGTTGTTGAGCTTCTCTCCACCGGGAGATTAGCCACGACGGTTTCCAAGAGCTCTCTCTGCTCGCTTTCCGATGGAATCGAAGAAGAAGAAGACGCCGGCCCCGAGGTTGACTTCCGGTTGGCCCGAGAAATTCCCGGGATGTGCTTCCTGGAGTAGTAGATTAGGCAGTTCTCGATGACTTCACCGTTGACCTCTTTCTCTTTCATACCCACAATTAGTCTCTTAAACAATTCCAAACCCAAAAGTGTCAATTCATCCAACCAATTATCCGCTCCTCCGGCGACTCTCCGACGAGCATTATTAGTATTATTTTCTCTGCCGTCGTTCACCGGCCAACCGAACAACGACGGATCGGCGGAGGAAGCCTTGGAAGCGACGGCGTCGACGCATCTGTCGACAATGCCGAGATCTTCGGCCAACGGCAAGAGCCGTTGACAGCTATGGAGCGTTTGAATGGCGTGCTTGATATTTTTGGGGATATTTTGGGAAAGAAATCTCTCTGTTTTGGAAATGAGATTATCCTCGGAATACTCCTCCGTCATCTGAAGAAAATCGCCAGCGCAGCGGAGCTGGGCGACGTTTGATGGCGACAGCTCAATCTTGACGCCGTAACAGAATTTAGCGGCGGCCTCGAACGACTCCGAGCCGCCCGGGAAATCTGGGAAGCTGATGTGACACAAGAACAAGTCTTCTTCTTCGTGTTCTTCGTATTCTTCCTCAATCTCTCCTCCTCCTGGGCTGTCTTTTTCGTCATTGTTTTCTGGATCCTTCTCTCCTTCAGTGCTTTTTTGGTTTCTTGCTGATGGGTTTGGTTTTGGATTTTTCTCCAACTCCGTTATTAAGTCGTAAAGCTTTAAGCTTTTTGACATCAGAGGAAACTGGATAACATTTTTCCACCAGACAAAAAGTGAGTAATTTACGGATTGAGAAGAAGAAAAGAAAAAAAAAAAACAAAAACAGAGTACTGAAGAACTAACCTTGTGAAGATGGAAGGTCATATCCTCCACTTCGATTACAACATCGCTGGGCAATCCAGTTGTGCAAAACCTGCAATAACAAGAGATGAACAGTTAGCCAAAAAGACTCGTTCTTTTTTCTTTTTTTGGAGAGAAAGGGTGGAACTGTGCTCAGAGATTGAAGCTGGAGTTGGAGTTAATCAATCACCATGCTTGGCCTTTGGAGCTGCTGGGTTTCTCAGTCGCCATTCTTGAAGCTCTTTTTTGCAGAACAGAGTGAGTTGTGAAAAAGGCGGAAAACTTAGATCTGATCCATGAAAATGGGCATTTCCAATCTCTACCCAAAAAGGTAACTAATCATTAAGATTGAAATTTGATGATGGGACTAAGTTAAAGTGTAACAAATGAATCCTCTCCACCTTTGGTGACAGAATCAGAACACAAGTGGAAGTAGAGAAATTGATGAGCAGAGCAGAATAGGAAGATACAGGGAAAAAAAATGATTTGATTTTTTTCTTCTTTTTTCTTTACAGAATGATTGTGTTTGTTGAAGCTGAAACAGAGCTATAAAAGGGAAAAAGGGGCAGCTTGAGGAGAGGAACTGTAAATAAAAAAAAAGGGGATCTTGAATTCCTGAGAAAGGACAAATGGGATTTCAACAAATAACCAGAAAAGCAAGTATAAAAGGGTTGAATTGAATCCAGCACTAATGATGAAATTGGATAAAATTTTTCTTCCCTAACTTTAAGAATTTCATTCCCAGAATGTTCCCTTGTTTTTGTACTTTGGGGCTTTGGGCTTGTGTGCTACAGCAGTATGTGGCTCCTTTTCTTTTTTCATCTCCTTTCATTACCAAATTATTTGAGTTAATCATTTATAGAGAGCTAAAGCCACAACAAAAAGGCAGAATTTAGAAAAGGAGGACTGTAAATTGGTCTTTGATTGAACAGCTATAGTATGTAATTATTACTCACTACTGCTAGCTAGACTGTAATGATTACAACATAAACAGTGAAGGGTCACGGGGTTTATTATTTTAATTGACGTGATTATTGGAATGATTAAATTTTAAGGGACAAACCACAACACGCATTGCCATTTTACCCTGCCTTACTGTGGTTTTTTTTTTTTTGTTGTTGCTTTCTTGTCGATTTTTGTTGGAAAGATTAGGTTCAGCATATGAAATATGTGTTTTAAAAAAAAAAAAAAAAGAAGATTCATGTTTAGAATCAAAGTGCATTACAAATCTTCTTCTTAAGAAATTCTGATATTTTTACCAACAAAAAATGATTAACATGTCCCAATCTGTCTAATTTGATTCCAAGATTGGAGAGATTTCATCATTAATAATAAATTCTTCTTCTATTTTTTCATTCAGCCAATGGGGGAAAAAATGGAAGAGGAGGATGGGGGCGGGCATATGGGTCTCGGGCCCCTATAATTATGTCAGTCATGCCTTATAACGTTGTTGGATATTAATAAAATGGTTTGTGGGTTTATGCTTTTTGAGCTGCGGATGTCCTTAATTCTGGCATTCCACTTGTTCCCGTGTTCACTTTGACACTCACAAGGCGGCAATTTTTCCTCCTTTTCTGGGGTCCAATTTTAGAAACATTAACATTCTAAAAATTTCTTCCAATCACCATATAATGAATGCCTTCTCTTCGCTCCAGCTATTCTAGCCTCAAATATAGTTGACTGCCTTTGAGACTTTTCCACAGTGACTTTGGCACAATGGAAATTCTATTAGTCGCGTCGTTACTACAAGGTTACAGAACTCAATTCACGGGGTTTTGTTATTTGATATTGATTGGTCTTCATCTCTTCGATAATCATAGTAAAATTAATGAAGTCGGATTGCTTGACTTACTACTAATCCATTTCATTTCATTTTAAGATGATTGACTTTCGCTTCTCTCGCAAAACCCTTCTATTCTTTTCAGTAACATTTTCATGTTACATTCACAATCTTAATTCAGAGTTGTAATCCATTCAGGTCGCCAAGAGATTCAAGCCACTCAACGATCATGAATGGTACACCACACTGTCGTCATTAAATTCAGGCTTTACCTCGGCCGGAGGGCTGCTACAGTGTCAAAAACATTTATGGCGCCAACAACATACAAAAAGGAAATTTTGAAGTCCAATTACAAAGATTTTAGGTGATCCCACCATTGGATTTCATTTTATACAACTACTATTGTAGGTATTGATCATGAGCGACATTCGAAGCCCCTCAATTTCCAGTTATGTTCAACTTAAAATGCCTAAAAATTAATTTAGTCTTGGCCTTACGCGTTCACTGTGACCCACCCAGATTTTAAAAAATACTACTACAACAAAATTCAAATATGCGGGAAAATTTTTTTTAAAAAAAGAAAGTGATGTTCATAATAACGACTGCGAATCAAATAGTACAATGAAGAAAATGATTGAAAGATTTTTTTTTGGCACATATATTTAATTATTTTGAGCAAAAACATCACATGATATATTTTATGAAAAAATTGATTAAAAGTAAGTAGCAAAAAGAAAAAAAAGATCAGATGAAACTCAAAATCCAAAATGGTCTCCCGCCTACAATATCTTCCAACCTTTTTGTGCATAGTGATGTTCTGTCGCCTTGATGAAATTGGCAGGGGTAGTAGGCATCGCTATTAATTATGCTCAGTTCATTTTTTTTCAAAATTCGAAATTGCACATGTTACTAGATTTCGAATTCTAGGATGTGAATTTCAGAACGTTGGGTCGCTGGAAAATTTGTCGGAAAAAAATGAAAATAAAAAAAATAAAATTGAAAGGCAATGAGCTACGTATTTAATACACGATCCTGGAATTTTTGTTAACGATGTTTACTGTTTGGCAACGATTCTGATGAGCAACTATCACAAGAATAGCTCACATGTTGCATTTTGTCCTTTGGAAAAAAATTTTATTTTTCACCATTAATATAAAGTTGATGAAGCAAATCAGCAATGATTCTAAAACAGTATATTTCTTTCGTTCGTGTGCGTGGCTCATGATTGAGAAAAAGCTTGATTGCAGAAGTACATGCCCTTTTTTTTTCCTTTTTTTTTGTTTTTTTTTTTTTGTTTTCCCTCATAATCAGTACAACAGTCTTGTTCCCGGCCTTCTAATTTGTACTTTTGGTAATGCAGGTCATTTGCCTCGTCCTCAAAAGGCAGTAAAAAACGCCGAAGTTAGAGCCACAAAATGACAATAAACTGGCTTTTGCGGTGCCATTAAAGTATGCTAGTTTATCGTTCACAATTCCCAATTTGATTAATATTACCTCCGTCCCAAAAAAATAGTTTACATTAAATTTTAAATTTTATATTGTTTTTAATATAAATTTAAAAACTTAATGTAGACTATTTTTTGGGACGAATGGGGTAGTAATAAAAGAAAAACAGTAGCACAAAAATCACGGCTTCGATTGAGTTCATTTTCGCACAAATGTGTTCCAGTTAATTCGACAATTGTTTGTCACTGGAAATGTGGTCAAATTCACAGGCTAAAAGTGAGTTGAAAGAAGGGAGCACAGTGGAAACCAGGAGCAAAGTTTTGAAGGGAAAATATATATATATATATATATATATATATCTCACTATATTAGAAATAAAAATTCCCTTTCAAACACCTCCTATGATTGCCACGTGGCATGAGGAAAATTCTAAATTACCCTTTTGTCTAACCATAACTAAATTACTAAATCCCCTTTTACACTTTACGTGGCACGTTTTTTTTTTCTTTATGTTTCATTCAATTAGAGTGGTTTTCTTTTCTTAATAATGGAGTTTAAATTGAATTGATCAATTAGATTTTTGTTTCAAAGTGTCAATTTTGCTTTAAGCGTATACCTTTCGGATGAAACTTATTACAAAACTATTAAAAATCTCCAAAATTAAGTATAGACTGGGCCAGGATCACGCATTGCGCGACCAGACATCACTAGTATATATATATATGTTAAAAAAATACTCCAAAAAATTTGATTGAGGGGACAGCAGAGATAGTTAAATTAATAAAATGAATATGACTTTGAAATAATTTTTAATAAGGACAGTGATTTATTTGTCATAAATTAGAAATTCAACACACTTGTGTATTGTTATTATTACCCTTATTATTTGTTATACCCAAAAAAAAAAAAAGCCCTTCTTCCCAAGAATGAACTTGTTCAATGTAATCGGATTAATAAAACCCTACCCTAATACGTTTCCTACGTTGTTTGGAGTTCCTTCTCAACAATCTTCAGGCAAAATGTTCAAGAAACACAATTCCCTTTTTCAGTTCCGATTATTCGGCCATCAAATTGCAGGAAAAAAAGCTTATCAAAATGGCTGGAGGAAATTTCATGTACAGATTCGTTGCTAATGAGGTCGTTGCGAACGGTCTTGCCTGTAATCGCACATTTCAAAGACTTCTTGTTAAGGCACGTGATACCCTAAGAGTCTTTACCAAAAAAAGCCGCACAAATGAAAAACCAAATTGCAGAGCAGGTGAAGTTTTGAGACTCTCAAAAAACAGAAGTGAAATGGGAATGCTTATTTGTCAAAATAACCGTGGTTATTTAAGTGCTTGTGTTGCCACTAATAAATAATTAGGCTAATAATAATGTCATTATTATACAAGTATTTTGATTTTTTAATTTATGGCAAATAAATGATTGCCCCCTAATAAAAATTATTTCAAAATCATATCCCTTCAATTAATTTAACCATATTCACTGCCCCTCTTCTAAATTTTCCCAAAATACTCCACATTGACTGTTTTGAAATTTCTTATTTCTATGGTCACTCAAAATATGTTCATGGTCACTTCACTGCAAGTTTTAAAATTCAAAATGAACTATTTTTTTAGTCAAAAGTAATACTATAAGAGAAAATGAATCTTTTCATCTTAAAGTTTGGATCACGCCATCTAAAATATCCCAAAGTTTAAGAGCATACTATTTACATTCTGAACTTTTTAAAAAATTTTATATTAAGATATTCGTTAAATTTTTTAGTTAATTAATTACCTGTGGTACTTCATTTCATTTCCTCTCATCAATTCTTTCTAATCATTTAACGGGTTCCACTAATTCCTAATTTATAAGAAAATAGTTAAATTTAATTTGGTCTTCACATTTTTCGTTCTTCCCTTGGTTACAAAAAAAAAAAAAAGAAATTCCAAGATTCACCATCTGAATTGAAAATAATCATGAGGTTTTGGGGGTGTCCTAATTAGTAAGTGAGTTCTTATTTCAGTTTTTTTTTAATACATAGTATCAATATAAAAAATGGTGTTATAATTTAATGACGGGACATGCAACTTCTGTACTTGGCATTTTACCAAGCGCTAGTATGGAATTTTTTTTTAACTAAAAAAAATTGAAAAAAAACTGAATCTAATATCGACGTTAATTGACTAAAACATTTAACATATATCCCAAAATTACATATTTTTGAAAAGTTTGGGATGAAAATGACATACTATTAAACTTTGGGATGTTTTGGATGGTGAGACTCAAACCTTGAAATAAAAAGGCTCATTCACCCTTTCTATCAATGCAGAATTTTAGTGTTCAAGTGGCAAGTGAAGATAACAAGTTTGGCTCTTAGTGTCTAATACAAGTGGCATGAAGATTGATGAACGTCTCACTGTAGAATCAGTCGTTGGAATGGGTACATATGGTGATGGTCATCATGTTAACATTGAGGTTCTATCAGCTGCTTTTGATTGGGAATGTAATATGCAGCAGTTAAATGGCCAACATGACTCATAGAAAAGCATGAAGTTAATGATTTCATAACTTCAAGAACCGATATTTTGCAATATTAGAATGTGAAATTTGTGATAAATAATTATATTATGACTTTTACATAAAATGATGTTTGTGGCTTTACAAATGCACTTACATTTGTTTTTCAATTAGTATTTTGTCGTAATAAATCTATGCTTTTTCTTTGAGTTACAAAGCAACCTATTAAACAGTCCCCGGGCAACGCCCCAGGCTGAGAATCTAGAGTTATATTAACAATGACATTGGTCAGTCTCCATGTTCTTCCTATTCCGCTATTTCTTTTATTTTGAATTGATTTTTTTTTTTTTTTTGCTTTTAATACAAATTCCTTACAAAGCTCAATAAATGTAATTTAGTTAATCAGTTCATTATC